GCGTTTTCACGTCGTTAGTTAAACCTGAAAATTAGTGAAAATGGGAGTCATTTTATAATAAAAAAAAACGTTTTTTGATAGGTAAATTGCCGTGGAAGCGACGCTTTTGGTAGAAGAAAGCGAGCAGTCCTGGACAATGAGGACGAAGACCCGAACAATCTACTGTCTGGACAATTGCGCGAAGAAATCACCATCCAATCCAACGCCATTCTCACCCTGGAAAGACGAGAAGAGCGCTACGCGGACTCCTCATTGTGTAAGTGCCCTAAAGGGGTGGAATGTTGGGAAGTTTTTCTAAACGCAATGTTCACTTGCAGCCCCGGACGCTCAACGTTCAGAAGATATTTGCGTGTCCATGATAGGCTTTATCATAGCCTTAGTGATCACTGCCTTATTGGCCTTGGTGGCCGTGGCAGTGGCGGTGTCTTGTTGGTTGATGGCCTACCGTCGAAGGCCAAAATCCACCGGACCATTGCCACATCCTCCCGAATTTCCCAACCCGCTGTTCACCACACCTGAACCGATGGCCGAACCAAGTCCAGACTACCTCACATAATCAAGCTACAAACTAGCCTTAGATTTATTTAATATTCCGATTTTACCAGTTTAGTGTCCGAACACTAACAACGAATACTCGACGAGAACCTTAATTTATGCTTTTGTTTTTGTATATTATTGATGGGGCTTCACGGTTGTTGTTGCGGCGCCTTTCTTGTATCCGTCCTCAAAGCTACTCACTCACGATCTTCAATACTGCCAGAAGAAAGGGCCCAGCCACGTGAAGCTCTATAGCAAATCATGCTTTAGATAAAATGAGGGAAACTACTGGAAGGTTTGCCAGCTGGCAAAATGCTCCGTGTTCAGCTGGCAAGCGTTCCCGCTAGCTTTTCCAGGGGCTATTTTCTCAAGTTCGCACTTGTCATGATCAAGGGAATTTCATTAATGGTGGCGGTTCTTAAAGGCTTCAATTTAAACTCTCTAACTATATCAGTTTAACGCCCCTTGGATCTCTTTTGAACGGAAAATCCTCCTATTGTATATACGAGTATGTACTCCTCCTTCGCATAGCCTCTGGAAGACTTAGTATTTCATAAGACTATACATATATTAAAGCCTTGTATAAAGTGAATGAATGCGATGAATGTGAATATGGAGGACAACTCCCTTGCTATTTGGTGCTGACTGATATATTCCTTAAAAGCAGTCATTTAGTCAATCTTCTCTGTTAAGTGTAATTATTTAAAACTTAGGAGGAAACTGTGCGTAACACAACGTTCTGTTAAATTTACTAAAATCTGTTAAAAACTTAACGCCTCCATCAATTACTGTAGAAAAATACGTACTAATAAACATAATTTATAAGTTCATTGTCGATTTAATTGTAACGATGAGTCTTTAATTGTCATACTTGTGATAATCGCTTCTTTAATAAAAAAAAACCGTTTAATAATGAACACCGATTTTTTTTCAAAAAAACTGAAACAGCCTAAAAAATACTAAAGGTGCAACCAAAATCAGGTCCAGGGCAGTTTGGCAATGCCCTTGCAACGCTTTGGCGGTTTGACGCAATGCTCCAGACAAGAACAGGCATATTCGGACGCGAGAGAAACGCAGCTGGAGCGATCAATTTGTCTCGCTTTGTATATTGCGCTGTGCGGCTGCCCCGACAAGGACAGGGATAGACAAATTTGCTGGGTGCATTCTGGCGTCGCCGAACTCGCCCAGGAGAAAACAGAAAAATCATTTAAATCCCACAACCAATTAAATTGGCTCTTATAAAAAAGGTTGACTCCTAGTTAAACACAAATCAAATAAATAGAAAAATTAGGCAATTCGATTTACCTTCCCGGTTTAACTCAAACATCAAGTTTCATCAACAGAGATAGACTTTCGAGGCCATTCCTTGAAACTAATGGGTTTTTCGGGTTTTTAGGCCGTCGTAAAATGGAATTTCTTCCGCACGTTTCGCAAGCACGAGTGGCTTGCATCTTCAGAAGTGGTTTGCTTGAACGCTTACACTGTTCCGATGC